AATAGCACTTCCAAGCAGTGCAGCTGGCTGAGGACTTCTGCATCAACATGCCTCCCCTGTAAGGACAGCTTGATCAGGAGCTACTCGTATCAGTACCAAACAACTTCAAGGGAGAGGGGAGAATAAGCCTCAGCATTCCCACACTGACCATCTAACCAGAAGCCAAAAACATGGTTATGTAAATCAAAACCATGGTTCTGCAACCAAGATATGACATAGCATTTCCTACCCAAAATTTAGTTCCTAAATTTTAGGAGGAAAACAGAGGTAATGTAGAGGAAGCCTGGTCCTGGGATTATGGCTTTGGGCTGTGGAGAGAGAGGTAGTTAGCTGTGTTAGTCTAAGGTTAGGCAGAAGGCAGAATAGATTTGCACCTTTCTAGGCTGTCTAAATCAGAGATGCATTGCATAAACTTTCATAGGCAGTAGGCTTCAGGTGGGTTGGGCTGGGGCCAAGGAGACCTACCTAGGTTGAAATCTTGGCTCAGATACAGACAGCCTGAAAGTCCTGAATAGATTTTGAAAGGTACTTGGATACCTAAGGATGTAGACCGACACATAGAGAGTACATAGAGAGTATGAAAGTACATGATAACCTGATGCCCACTGATTTCAGTATAGCGTTGTTACAAAGTGCAGACCCCACTACTTTACAACCTGAGGGATTCCTTGGTCTGTGCTGCAATAATGCAATGTACACACCAGATTCTAAGGACAAAGGAAAACAGCTGTCCTCTGAAGGTTTGAGCCATCTCCTTTTCCTCATACCTCTAATCTGTCAGGCAGCCTAAGCATGTTTTATACCATTCCCCTTTCATGCAGAATGATTGTAATGTAGCATCAAACAGGCACTCATGTGACTGCAGCACAGATAGGCATGGAGAAGCTTAGAATAATTTTTACATCACTTATAAACTATAATTATTAATTTGAGAAGCTCCAATGATAATGCAGGAATATTGCTGGGGGGGAGAGGGAAGAGCGGAAATTTTATAAATTTCCACCTTGGTGCTTTGAGGAGTAAAGTGATCTTTTGATTTTTACTGTAAATTAACCTTCATATTATATTTATTGGAACTTGGGTTTCCATTTACATGGAAAGGGATCCTTCCTGCCAGATGTAACTTCATAATTCCACCTTCAAACCCCATGGAGAGAGCATGCTCAGGAGAAACTCTCAGCGAGTAAAAATAAAAAATGAAATTATAAATAATCACTTTTTCCAAGCTGTCCTGCACCTTCTTTTACCCAAGGTGACCTGGGAACAAAGAAATGCATTAAGTAGTCATATTCCTGAACAGTTCCTGGCATTGTCTTTCATTGGTGGTGTTCACATGACATAGAAAGTCCCTAATTTGCCCATAAGCTTTAATACACAATAGATCCAATTATATATTGGGGACAGTCTTTCACTGAGACTATTTTCACCATAATGGGTCTGAAATATGAGTGTTTGTTTATTACTGAAGCTTCCCCGCCTGAACAAAGCATATGAATAATTAACAAGGCAAATTAATTGAAAATATAATTAAAGATGTAAGTATGAAAAGCTGAAAGAAACATGACATGACAGGGGCAATCTACCATGGCTTTTGTAAAGCCTCTCCTACCCATTAGGCTTTTTTGAGGAAGTCAGCAAAAGTGTCAAAAGGGTAAAATGGACATAATATCATTAATTTGGATTTTCAGACCAGCCTCTCATAAATCCCCTCCCTCAAGCCTAATAGGCAAGCTAAGTAGAGGCATAGAACTTGAGGAGAAAAGGGACTATTAGATCATATGGGCTGACCCCCTGAATGTGACAGGTATTTTAGTTTTCTCCAGCTTTTGCTGTCTTGCATTGGCCTTCGGTGAACATTCTGTTTGAAAAAAGCTCATCTTCCTATGAGGTATCCATACTTGAGCTGAAAGTGCCAAAACAGGTAAAATCCATCACGTCTTCTGGCATTTTTTCCCCCAAAGTTACATCCCCTCATTGTTAAAATGCTCTACCTGATTTCTAATTTGAATTTGTCTGGCTTCAGCTTTCAGCCACTGGGTATCGCCATTTATTTCAGGTGTTTCCCAATTCATTTAAAGAGCCTGTAATTATCCAAACTTTTGTCCTCCTGTAGGTACTTACCCTCTGTAGTAAACTCCATTCTTCATCTTTTTGATATGTTAAAGCAGGGGTGGGCAAAATATGGCCCACAGGCCAGATCCGACCCACAGAGGGGCTTTGTTTAACCTACAGTGGGCCCCTTGGTCCTGCCTGGCCCAGGCACCATCAGCCGTGGTGCATCCTGCCACCCCCCTGGGCAGGCAGTAGGGCTGAGGCAACTCTGCAGCTGGACTGCCTTTCTAGGCAGCCCAGGCAGTGGCAGCTGCATCTGGCTACCACTGCCGTAGCCCTAGCCCCACGGTAATGGCAGGGACCCACGTGCAACCCTGACCGACCCTGAGTCTGCTGCGCACTCACCAGCTCATGCTGAACAGCTGCAGCAACAGCAGTGCCGGCAGGGCAGAAGTGTGCTCAGCGCAGGAGAAAAGCAGCCCCTCCCCTTCACTGCTGCCTGTGCTGCCTACAGCAGCCATGCAGAGCTCATGCTGGGCTGCCCTGCATCTCCTATGCCACACAAATAATACTCTGGCATGCATCAATCAATGCATCTCCAGCAAGACCAAGGAGGTGATTCTTCTGCTCTACTCAGCACTGGTGAGACCGCAGCTGGTGTACTGCGTCCAGTTCTGGGCACCACACTTTAACAAGCACATGGACAAGCTTGAGAGAGTCCAAAGACGGGCCACCCGTATGATCAGAGCCTCACACAGTGAGCCTTATGAGGAAAGGCTGAGGGATCTGGAACTCTTCAGCCTGAAGAAAAGAAGGCTGAGACGGGACCTGGTAGTAGCTTACAGGTATACTAGCGGAGTACATCAAGGGTTCGGTGAGCAACTGTTCACCAGGGCACCCTAGAGGAAAACTAGGAGTAATGGCCACAAACTCCTAGAAGACTGATTCAGGCTCAACATTAAGAAAAGCTTCTTCACAGTCAGGGTGTCCAGACTGTGGAATAAGTTCCCTTCAGAGGTGGTGCAATCACCTACTCTGGAAATCTTCAAGAGAAGACTAGACAGTCACCTTGCTGGGGTCACCTGACCCCAGTTACCTTTCCTGCTTGGTGCAGGGGGCTGGACCCGATAATCTTCTGAGGTCCCTTCCAACCTCACAATCTATGAATGCTCTGTGCTGCCACCGCTGCCCCACCGGGCAGCGCAGAGACGGCAGTGACACTGGTAAAGCCACAGGGCAGCCCAGCATGGGCTCTGCCAAACTGCTGTAGGAAGTGCAGGACAATGGTGAGGGGGAGGGGCTGCTTTTCCCCCACACTGAGCACACTTCTGCCCCACTGACACTGCTATTGCTGCAGCTGTTCAGCATGAGCAGGCGAGTCTGCAGGAGGCACGGGGTGGGTCAGGTTGGGATTGCCAATGGGTCCTCGCCATTATTGTGGGTCTGGGACCAGAGGCTGTCTAGAAAGGCAGTCCAGCAAGGAGCCACCACAGCCCCACTGTGTGCCCAGGGGGCATCGGGACATGCCCCGGGTGGGTGGTGCAGAGCAGGCTCAGGGGCCAGGTCAGGGCTGTACGCATAGTCTGTCTGACCCGCTCCAGCAGGGGTGAGTCTGGGGCAGGCTTATGGCACAGGGACTGCATGCTGCTGGCAGCAGTGGGGAGGCACCACAGGGCACGTGAGCTCTGGGCTGTTGCAGGGCGGGGGCAGGGGCTGACTGGCTTGGGGGCACACACAGAGGTTCCCATGCACACCCCACTGTACCCACAAACTCTCCCCTGCAAACCCCACAATCACACCCTCCCCCACACACAATCACACACCCCACAACCACTGCACCCCCCCACATGCACCTCCCCCCACACACTCATGGGCCTCTGGGAGGAGCCCTGCTCACTGCTGACCATATACATCCCACCACACACACACACACACATCCCGACTCCCCCTCCACACACCCCACAAACCCCATAACTACCCACTCATACCCTCCCACACCCCCCACAATATACAAGAGTAGGACTTCATTTTGAACTACTATGCAGTTGCCTTTATTTACACAAAGCAAACACGCACAAATCAGGACAAAAATATCTTTTTAAAATAAAATTAAATATGTTATTGTGGATGTTTGATTTTTAGTATACAATCTGGTTTTTTTTTACTGGTTCCAAGTTGGCAAACCCCCTTCCCAGGCAAGGGGAGGGACATCCAGTGGCAAAGGTTAGGGGGGCAGGACTTCCGGTCCCAAGATGGTGACCAGGGAGCAAGGCACCTGTCAAGGAGTGGAGTTACCCTTGCAGCCCTCAACAACTCACCAAAATTCGTTAAGCAGCCCTTGAGCCAAAATAATTGCCCACCTCTGTGCTAAAGCCTTTCCCATCAGGCATTTTGGTGGCTAGTGGTAGGGGAAGAGACTGTACCACAGTGGCATGTGCTTGAATCTTCAGAAGAAAGCAAGGCAAAGGGGTGGCTTTAGCAAAAGCAAGCAGAGCAGGCCAAGAAAATGGGAGAAGTTTCTCTATGTGAAATTGTCAACATTTCCAGCCAAACATTTCAGTATTTCTTGAAAAGAAATATAAAAACAATGAAAAGCAATATGAAAACAAAAGGGATAGGAGTGAAGAGAAACCAGGCAGTGTCTTTTAAACTCAAACCGCAAAACTTTCCGTAAATTAAAGTTAAGGTTGAAAACTGCAGCCCTCAAACATCAGGAAATTATAATGTGAAACTTGCAGGTGGAATTATGACTCTGCTGCCTTATGGGTGTGTGCATCACTGGGCAGGACCACATCTCATTCAGGGGGCAGCCTGTGAAGCAGCACTGTATGGGGAATGTGGCTAGAAGTTAGGGGGAAGTATAAACCCAAGGGGTATTCATAGTCTAGGAATTACACATGTATTGGTGCATCACTGACTGATTGGATGTTTCCCATTTTCCCTTGCAGACACGTTCGCCAGCAAAGTGGCTGCTACACAGGATCAATATGCAGACGCCTCAATTGGGAACGTCACAGGGAGCAATGCTGTGAATGTCTTCCTGGGGATTGGGGTGGCCTGGTCCATCGCTGCCATCTACCGTGCAGCCCATGGGGAAGTATTCCGTGTCTCCCCTGGCAACTTGGCTTTCTCCGTCACCCTCTTCACCATTTTTGCTTTTATCAGTGTGGGTGTGCTGCTCTACCGCCGGAGACCTGAAATTGGAGGTGAGCTGGGTGGGCCGCGGACTGCCAAGCTTCTGACGTCCAGCCTCTTTGTGCTCCTTTGGCTCTTGTACATATTCTTCTCATCTCTGGAAGCCTACTGCCACATAAAGGGCTTCTAAAGGAACAATCAAAGATAGTAAATATATATATATATCTATATGTATCTATATAGAGAAATATATAGATATAGATATAGATATAACATGTCTAAAGAACAGAGAAAGAAGAAAAGGCCTTTGCCATGTTCACTTACCTGCTGATGGAATGCAGCTTTGGAGCATTCTTTGTACTAAATAGGAGTAAGAATTCAGCAAGATTCTTAACCAGGGGCGACATCCGATTAAAGGAGGCATGGATACAAGGCCATCTTTGCAACGCTGCCTGCAAGAGTGTACGGTAATGACTGAGTCCTTTGTTATTTTTTTCCCCTCTCCTGGGAGGATTGGCCTGAATGCAATGTGGGCTTTTTTTTTTTGATAAGGTAGAGGCCAGACTGGCCATTAAGAAACTGAGTGGTGAACCAGGGAAAGAGAGAAATAAGATAGCTCATGACTTTCTTACAAAAATCTATTTGCCTTCATGACTTGAGAACATGCATATCTGTCCCCATTGGAGAAAAGCAAGAGTCTGGACTGAACAAGGAAGGTCAGGGGTGTGAGAGCTTTCTAAGAATATACCGTAAAGCCTGCTGCCATTCTTGTTTTGACGCCCTGTTGATTAGCCAGTTATTAGAACACTGGGGTTTGAAAAAACCGGGCGATCTTTTTCCTTATTTATTTTGGGCTGTCTTACGATCAGCATATGACCCTCCAAAGACCCACCCACAAAATCAGCGAGCTCTCCCTTTCCTCCCGTCTGTGCTCTGTAGACGCGTGTCCAAATCCTTCGTCCAAGTCTCAGTTTCAGTTTCAAAAGAATCTTGTGGGCTTTCCTTTCATCGGCCATCTGCTCCCTGCCCGGCGCAGTGCATTGCTCCTGTCTCATGCTCCTGTTTGGGAATGCTGTTGCGGTACTTGTAACACTTTGCATGAATGAAGCAAACCATATATGTATATAGCATCGAATAGTGATAGTCCACCCAGCAATGTGGATTGAACGTTGAAGACATGAGTGAGTTTTCTTTTCACCCAGTTTTATTCTTTTTTTTTCTTTAGTTTTGTTGGGATAATGGGAGGGAAACAGTTTATCCTTCGTTGCTCTGTGCATGGGTTTCTAAGAAGCAATAATGAAGAACTATGTGACTGTGGATGTGAAGGGGAAGAATCTGTGCAAAGAACACCATAAAAGGCTTCCAGAGTGAAACAGTGGATCCACTGAAAGCAGTTATGAAACTCCCATTGCCTTCAGTGGTGCCAGGGTTTCCACCAAGGTAGTCTGGTCCACAACTCACTGAAGTCCACGTGCAGAATTTCACTGACTTCAGGAAGTTTTAGCACAGGCCCACAAAGACTGGCATACTGCCTTTAGGGCTGCATCCTGCCTCCTTTGCTCCTGGGTCATAGAACTTGGTTCTACAATTGGTCCTTTAGAAATCAGTGGGGCAAAGTCCTACTCAGCCTGATGAAGAGTGGCAGCATCAGCCTCCCTCTATAAGTAAAACATGCCTGGGCTTCACCAGCACCAGTTTTTTCCCAGAACACGTGTACGTTTTCTCTGTCTACCACCAATAGCAGATATCATTATTAGCGAACAGTGGTTGTAGAATCCCTGCTTTCCATTCCTAGTGTCATGTGCACCCATCACTGACGTTCAACTACAGCCCTGTGAGCAAATATTAAGCCATGAGCAATTGGTGGGTCTTTAAAGCTGTATCTCTTCAAGGGTCACTTGAAGACTGAACAGTTCAGTGTCAGGTTTAGAGGAATATCATTGTTTCCAAGCTCTCCGGTGCTCTTGGTTCTGCCATTGCAATGTTCTTAACAGAGAAGGGCAGATCTTGCATTGTCCAGCAGCGAATGCATTTATCACTGGGGATTATTATTTATTATTCACTGCACACCAACAATGCGCTCGCTCGATACTATACAATGCACAGATGTCGAGATAATCCCTGCTCTGGAGAGCTTGTTTTCTAGATAACAGACATCAACCACTGAAAAGGAAAGAGCTCTCCCTAGCTTATTTGCTTTTTTTGTGTGTGTTCTTTATGAAGCAGTAACTCAGGAGGAGGGATTTGAACCAGGAGAAGGTTTGGCCTGGGGTTCCACATGTGCAGAGCAACACAGAATGACCTTTAGGAAAAAATTAGAGAAGGAATCAAGGCTGCAGCTCTAGAGCAGGAAGTGGGATTCCTGAGCTAAACCAGGGCTCAGAGCCTTAAAGCTGTTGTGAATGGCACAGAGCCTTAAAGCAGTTGTAAAGTGGTCAGGATTCCTGCACCCACCAAATGCATTAGCTTCACAGGGGGCTGCTAAGCCCATCTACTTGGACCACACCTCCCTGCCCCCTCCCC